TTAAGTGAGTTACAGGAAGAAATAGCAAAACTATACTAGTGGGGGACCTCAACCTCCCCCTCTCAGAACTAGATAAATCTAACCACAAAATAAACAAGAAAGAAATTAAGGAGATGAATAAAATCTTAGAAAAGTTAGATATGGTAGACCTCTGGAGAAAATTGAATGGGGATAGAAAGGAATATACCTTTTGTTCAGCAGTACATGGCACCTACACAAAAACTGACCATGTACTAGGGCATAAAAACCTCACAATCCAATGTAGAAAGGCAAAAATATTAAATGCATCCTTTTGAGAGCATGATGCAATAAAAATTACATGTAACAAAGGGCTATGGAAAGATAGAGTAAAAATTAATTGGAAACTAAATAATCTAATCCTAAAAAATGAGTAGATCAAACAACAAATTATAGAAACAATAACTTTATCCAAGAGAATGACAATAATGAGACAACATACCAAAACATATGGGATGCAGCTAAAGCAGTTCTTAGGTGAAATTTTGTATCTCTAAATGCTTACATGAGTAAAATAGAGAAAGAGTAGATCGATGAATTGGGCATGCAAATAAAAAAGCCAGAAAAAGAATAAAGTAAAAATTAAATACCAAATTAGAAATTCTGAAAAATCAAAGGAGAGATTAATAAAATTGAAATTAAGAAAACTACTGAACTAATAAATAAAACTAAGAGCTGGTTTTATGAAAAAAAAACCCCAATAAAATAGATAAACTTTTGATTAATTTGATTTTAAAAAAAAGAAAGAAGAAAACCAAATTACTAGTATCAAAAATGAAAAGGGTGAATTCACCACCAATGAAGAGGAAATTAAAACAATAGTTAGAAACTATTTTACCCAACTGTATGCCAATAAATCTGACAATCTTAGTGAAATGGATGAATATTTACAAAAATATAAATTGCCCAGATTAACAGAAGAGGAAATAAAATACCTACATAACCCCATTTCAGAAAAAGAAATTGAACAAGTCATTAATGAACTCCCTAAGAAAAAATCTCCAGGGCCAGATGGATTTATAAGTGAATTCTGCCAAACATTTAAAGAACAATTAATTACAATACTATATAAACTGTCTGGAAAAATAGGTGAAGAAGAAGTCCTACAAAATTCTTTTTACAAGATAAATATGGTGCTGATACCTAAACTAGGAAGAGACAAAACAGAGAAAGAAAATTATAGAACAACCTCCCTAATGAATATAGATATAAACATTTTAAATAAAAGATTAGCAAAGAGATTACAGCAACTTATCATGAGGATAATACACTATATCCAAGTGCAATTTATACCAGAAATGCAGGGCTAGTTCAATATTAGGAAAACTATCATCATAATTGACCATATCAATAACAAAATTAACAGAAACAATATAATTATATCAACAGATGCAGAAAAAGCTTTTGACAAAATACAACATCCATTCTTATTAAAAACACTAGAGAAAATACAGATAAATGGAACTTTCCTTAAAATGATATGTAGCATCTATCTAAAGCCATCAGCAGGCATTATATGTAATGGGGATAAGCCAGAAGCATTTCCAGTAAGATCAGGGGTGAAACAAGGATGTCCATTATCACCACTACTATTCAATATTGTATTAGAAATTTTAGCTTTAGCAATAAGAGAAGAAAAAGAAATCAAAGAAATTAGAATAGGCAATGAAGAAAGAAAGCTATCATTGTTTGCAGATGATATGATGGTATACTTACAGAATCCTAGAGAATCAAGTAGAAAACTACTTGAAATAATGAATAACTTTAGCAAAGTTGCAGGATGTAAAATAAATCCACATAAATCATTGTTATTTCTATATATTACTAACAAAGCCCAATAGCAAGAGACAGAAAGATAAATTCCATTTAAAGTAACTGTAGACAATGTAAAATATTTGGGAGTCTACTGGCCAAGACAAACCCAGGAACTATATGAACACAATTACAAAACATTTTTCACACAAATAAAGTCAGATCTAAATAATTGAAAAAACATCAGTTGCTCACAGGTAAGCTGAGCTAATATAATAAAAATGACAATTCTATCTAAATTAATTTACTTATTTAGTGCCATACCAATCAAACTACCAAAAATTGTTTTATAGAACTTGAAAGAATAATGACAAAATTCATCTAGAAGAACAAAATTCCAGAATATCAAGGGAATTAATGAAAAGAAATGCAAAGGAAGGTGGCCTAGCTGAACCAGATCTTAAATTGTATTATAAAGCAGCAATCATCAAAATTATTTGTTACTGGCTAAGAAATAGAGAGTGGATAAGTGGAATAGGTTAGGTACACAAGACACAGTAGTCAAAGACTATAGTAATCTACTTTTTGATAAATTCAAAGACTCCAGCTTCTGGGATAAGAACTCACTATTTGACAAAAACTGTTGAAAACTGGAAAATAGTATGGCAGAAACTAGGCATAGACCAACACCTTATACCATATACCAAGATAAAGTCAAAATGGGTACATGATTTAGACATAAAGGGAGACATTATAAACAAATTAGGAGAGCAAGGAATAGTTTACCTGTCAGATCTATGGAGAATGGAAGAATTTATGACCAAACAAGAGATACAGAACATTATGAAATGCAAAATGGATAATTTTTATTACATTAAATTAAAAAGTTTTTGCACAAACAAAGCCAATGGAACCATGATTAGAAGGGAAACAGAAAGCTGAGAAACAATTTTTGGATCCAGTCTCTGATAAAGGCCTCATTTCCAAAATAAATAGAGAACTGAGTCAAATTTATAAGAATACACATCATTTCCCAACTGTTAAATGTCCAAAGGATATGAACAGGCAGTTTCCAGATGAAGAAATTAAAGCTATCTATAGTCATATGAAAAAATGCTCTAAATCACTATTGATTAGAGAAATGCAAATTAAAACAACCCTGAGGTACTACATCATACCAATCAGATTGGCTAACAAGACAAAACAAGAAATGATAAATGTTGGAAAAGATATGGGAAAATTGGAACACTAATGCATTTTTGGTGGAAGTGTGAATTGATCCAACCATTCTGAAGAGCAATTTGGAACTATGCCCAAAGGACTATAAAACTGTGCATACCCTTTGATACAGCAATACCACTTCTAGGGCTATATCCCAAAGAGATTGTAAAAATGGGAAAAGTACCCACATGTACAAAAACATTTATGGCAGCTCTTTTTGTGGTGGCCAAGAATCGGAAATTGAGAGGATGCCCATCAATTGGGGAATGGCTGAACAAGTTGTGGTATATGAATGTAATGGAATACTATTGTTCCATAAGAAATGATGAGCAGACAGATTTCAGAAAAACCTGGAAAGACTTGAATGAACTGATGCTGAGTGAAGTGAACAGAACCAGGAGAACATTGTACACAGTAAGAGCCATATTGTGTGATGATCACCAACTTTGATAGACTTAGCTCTTCTCAGCAATGCAATGATAGAAGACAATTCCAAAAGACTCATGGTGGAAAATGCTATCCACATCCAGAGAAAGAACTAGGAGTATGGATGCAGATCGAAGCATACTGTTTTTCCTTTCTTTTTTTTCTTCTTTCTTTCTTGTGGTTTTTCCTTTGGTTGTAATTCTTCTTTACAACATGACTAATGTGTAAATATGTTTAATATGATTGTACAAGTATGGCCTATATCAGATTGCATGCCGTCTTGGGGAGGGGAGAGGGAAGGAGGGGGAGAAAATCTAAAACTCAAAATCTTATAAAAGTGAATGTTGAAAACTAAAATAAATAAATAAATAAATATTTTTTAAAAAAAGAATGGATGACTTGACTTCCCAAAGAAGAAGCTTGCCTACCAATGCTTGGGTCTGATTTTGGAAGACCAGGATGGTTGGGGATCATTTATTTGGAGTACTTGGGCATTTGACAGGAGTTGTTGCTGGAAGTGGATGCCAGGTAGTTTCAGTAGTAGTTGTGGGTTGCTTCAGGTGAACTGCTTGACTGTATTGCTGCCATGTTGTTTATTTTTGCTACTTGTGATGATATAAACCTTAGTGGCAGTTCTCAAGCAGCCCATTAGACAGTAGGCTGTGTCAGTGGAGGAATATAGCTGTCTTGGCTCAGGTAAGGGGGCATTAGGACATGAAGCTCATTTGTGTAGGAGATCATGGGAGCTTACTCCCCAGCAATGGAAAAAGTGAGAGTACTTTGGGTTTCCCACTTCACTATTCATTGCTTTGTGGTTATTGTTGTTGTTTTTATATTACTGTAGTCATTGTATATCTAGTTTTCGTAGATCTACTTACTTCACTCTTAATAAGTTCAAATAAATTTTTTCATGCTTCTCTGTAGTCACCATATTTATCATTTATTATAGCACAATAATATTTCCTTACATTGATGTACCACAGTTCTCCAATCAGTGGGCATCTACTTTGTTTCCAATTCTTTAATATCACAAAAGTGCTACTGTAAATATTGTAGTGTATATGGTGACTTTCTTATTAATGACCTCCTTGAGGGATATGTCTAATAGTGGAATGTCTGGGTCAAAGGGCATGGACATTTTAGCCAATTTATTTACATAATTCCACATTGGCTTCCAAAAATGGTTGTACTGATTCATCACTGCATCAACTATGTCTTAATGTGCTTTCCTTTGCACAACCCTTCCAACAATGACTCTTCCTCTCTTTTCTCATCTCTGCCAGTTTGCTGGTTGTGAAGTGAAACCTCAGGGTTGTTCTGATGTACGTGTTTCTTTTTATTAGTCATGTGGAGTGTTCTTTCCTATAGTTGTTACGAGAACTGTTTGTTCAAATCTGTGGACCATTTACCTGTTGGAAAATTACTTTCAATTTCATACACACACATATATATCTGTTGTTTATATATCTTGAATACCAAACTCTCATTTGAGAAATTTGATACAAAGAATTTTTCCCCATGAGACTATTTCCTTTTTAACCCAGATGCATTAATTTTGTTTGTGCAAAAGCTTTTAAATTTCATGTAATCAAAATAATTTATTTTTTCTTTTTGTAATTGCTTCTATCCTTTGTTTGGTTAAGAATATATGTCCTACCCATTGCAGAGATCAAGCATGACACCAAAGAAGAGATATGAGAGGACACTTCTCTCAGAGAAGTGGGAGGTGCAGAGGTGGGAGGTCTATGGGTGTGGAACATTGCATATATTTTCAGACTTCCTCAATGTATTCATTAGTTTTACTGATTCTCTCTCTGTCTCTGTCTCTGTCTCTCTCCCCCTTTTTTAAAAAATAATTCTTTGTTATATGAGATAGCTCTTTGGGAGGGAGGAAGGAGAGAGATACTGGGTGAACTTTTGGTGAAGTAAAAATAGGAGATAAAGTAAAAATTTTTGTTTTAAAAAAGGTATGTATGAACCTTGCTTTTGGAGTGGCCATTTGATGCTAAGTCCTGGCGTAGTGTTGAGAGGAGTGATATAATAAGTAATTAGTACTTAGCCATGGCAAGTACCCAGAGTTAAGTTTCCAGAGCTGCAGAACATGATTCCAGATATCCTCCACAGGGAATATATTCAGCTTCTGAACCTAGCATCTACCTACAGATCCTAGGCAGTATTTTTAGGTGTCCGGGAACTGGTTATTTCCAAAGGCTGAGTCATCCAGCCCAATTGGGAGGAGTTTCTCCTTAAGCAAACAGTATGCCTGTAGTATCTAAAAGAAGACAATTTAATAAAAGTATTTCATTTTCTTTTGTGGATTATGTATATTTTAAATAAGCATCTGAAGGTTTTATAATCCTGATTGAATGTAAGTACCTTGATGACAGATTTTTTTTTTTGTCTTTGAATGCCCAGGGCTCAGCAATTAATAAATAACTGTTGATTGATTTAGATCTAAACACACAGGGAAGTTACTCATGATTTAGAAATCCTCAGTTAGCTAATATGACTCACTTTCAACAAATACTTCACATGAATCAAATTTTTATACGTGGAATACATCTGAATGAAATAGTATTTATAAAAACATAAACCTAATACTAGTTTAAAGTTTTCCTTTTTTTTTCTCTTTCTACAGAAAAAGATTTTGATTATTGTGGGAAAAAATAGCATCACAAATACACTAGTGCTTAGCACTGACCTTATCTCCTTCAACTGAAAACAAATGCACAAAAAGGATAAAAATACTTAAGAAGAGAGCATTACCTAACAGTCACTCAGATGAGGTCTGGATTGGTATCCTTCCTAAAGATCCAGAAGTCATAGTTCTCCCCAGATGGAGAAGAGAAGAAGCTATCTCATGATCAGAACTAGAGGGCAGAGTTTTTCTGATGCAGAGGTAGCGTTTAGATCTCTCTGAAGAGAAATGCAGAGTTGGAGATAATAATCACCCCTAGAGAATGACCAGTGGCTGTGGCCAATAACAGGTGAAGGCTGCCAAGACTGACTCTAAGACTTGTAGGTGGAGCCTCTATTTTTTCCTGGTTTGTTGATCAGATTAAGAGAATCTATCAGGGAGTGTCTGAATGATATCTACATGAAGACACTTCTGGAACAATTGTAGATTTATTCCTCTCTGTTTCTTCCACTACTTTTATTGCAATGGACAGCATGGTTTATTACTGGTTTTATTTCTGTTTGCTCCATTTAAAATTTTGCTGACAGGTTATTTGTATTTTTAATGATGGATTTCTAGGTAAAGATAAATTTTTTTAAATTGCGTCCTGAGTTGGTGTTTTGCTAGAGAAAGTGTGATAAGGGGTGGATAGAAGCCTGGGGATAACTGATACACCAAACTCAACTGGTTGGAATACTTCCTTTTTAACCTGGGGATTGTCTAGCGGCTTAGAGCTTTATGAAGTTTATTAATATTATGTATTTTTAAGGTTTTTAACTTTGCAAGGAATATAAACTGTGTGGAATTGGCACTTGCCCTAGATGAATATTCTCATGAGCTAATCTCTTTATTTCCTTGCAAACAGATACACAGGTGACTTTGGAAAAGGGGTCCTCAGGCTTTCTCCAATCCCTCATAGAAGGGGGGAAGGGAAAGTAGAGGCAGGGACCTCAGATGAAGGTCATATACTTTCCTATATATGTTCGTGCTTTATTGAATTCAGTTCACACTAGTGAAAACTGTTTCTTATAAAAAGATAAGTAGAAAGGATGGAAAGGATTCTTTGGTCATTCTTAATGATAAGAAGGACCCCATCACTAGACTTTTCTCTTTATAATTGATACTATATGGTCATTTTAGGATAAACTTCCAACAACACTGCATCACAAACCATCCAAAATGTTTTCTTTTTTAACTTATTACCTGCAATCCATAATTTTTCACAGGAATCTTTCAAGAGTCAAGCTGTATCCAGATACAATCAGTAGCTGATTTTTTTAAAAAATTGCTCTAAAATGAATTAAATTAGTGCAAATTGTATAGGATATGCTAAATAATAAATTTGGTCTTAGAATGCTTTCAGAGAAAAGCTTAATTTACAGTTGTCTAAATAATTTCTAATTAAAGTTAGCTAAAATCAAGAGTAGAAAGGTAGCTAAAATCAAGAGTAGAAAGAATTATACTTTAAGATGATACTATCAAAGCAGTATAGGCTTATAATCTCTAGTAGACAGATTTTAAATATTAATGTTGGATGACATACAGAGACATCTGATGGGTTTCAACTATCAAAGTGTTTCCTCAGCATATGAAATTGCAGGTGAGTATTTCAAATTATATTCCATAACTTATCCAATATATTAGCTTGCATTGATAGGAGATACATATTTTTTTTGATAGGAGACATATTACAGATTAAGCCCAGACCTGAAAAGAAAAAAAAAAATCACAGTCTTTAGTTTATCACATTAAAAGACTTGAATTTTTTATAAAAAGTTCACTTAAGTAGATTATGACTGTTGCTTCCAAAACTCTTCTTAAGAGTTTCATACTTGACCAAGTAAAATAATTTATATGTTGTAATTTATATTTTAATTACTACATATACTACATAGAATTTATGGAATCTCAGGGGTGGAAGGGAGCCAACAGGCTACCTGTTCAACTCACAAATGGAATAAGAAGAATGCCTTCTATAACACTTCCAACAAATAGTCAACCACCTCTTGCTTAAATATTTCCAGTAAAGGGCAGCTCACTGTCTCTGCAAGCAACCTATTCAGCCTTTGTGTAGTTTTAATTACTACAAAACTTTTTTTGACATCAAACTTAAACTGTCCTCTTTGCAAATTCTACCCATCGTTAATTTTGGCTCCTGGGACAGACCTCGCTTCCTCCCTCCATTCCTTCCTTCCCTCCTCCTACCATTAAACCTGATCTTGTCCCATTTAACTGTCTTAACAAATATGGTTCTCATTTCACTGAAGCATAATGAAGGTCATTAAAGGTGGTTACTGGAACAGCTGAAATTAGAACCCAAAATTTGACCCATCTAGCTTCTGTCTTTTAATCTACTTTGAATACTCTAAGAAGACCAAGCATTCTCCTCCTCAACCAACAGAACTATATGTCCCCCAATCCCTAAAGTAAGAAGAAGAAGACCCTTACTCTCAGGGTATGGTCCCATGATCCTGAGCAGAAAGCAGTTCCATCAGGTGAAACACGTAAGGTACTAACTCTATTTTCATGTCCAAACAGGATGGATACTCTTGATCCTTTCAATACATCCCAGACATTGATGGTATAATCATTGTAACCAGCAAACAGTAAGCGACCTAGAAAGGGAATGACATTCACATGGAAGGATCTTTGGAAAGCTCCATGAGATTAAGGTTCTAAAGTAGGGGTTCTTCATTTTCTAGGCCATCTAAAGCAAGAGAATAGCCACTTTACAGACTACCTATTGCCTATTTCTTTTTTTTTAAGGCAATTGGGGTTAAGTGACTTGCCCAGGGTCACAGAGCTAAGTAAGTTTTAAGTGTTTGGTCTGAGGTCGGATTTGAACTCAGGTCCTCCTGACTTCAGGGCCAGTGCTCTAGCTGCCCCACTTATTGCCTGTTTGTGCAAGATTATTATCTTCCTCTACTCCTACTATGTACAAGGTACGTACCCTTAGGTGAAATATGACTGAGTCCCTGATCCTGAGTTCAGTCTCATTGACTAGACTACAGATAGCATTTGTTACAAAGTGTAGCATTTCTCTAACAAAGGGTAGGGGTGGGGAGGGGGAAGAAATCAGAAGCCTTAGGAAATCATGGGGAATTCCTAGGAACTTGTGGAAATGGCTTGCTCCCAACCTGACTTCCCTAGATTGATTCCCTTCCTTTGAGAACGTTATTTACTGCCTACAAATTTTAATTTTCCCCTCTTGGAGTGGTAGATGGTTAATTCTAAATCAGTTGTTTCCTTCCTTAAACTCAGGCTACTTCTAGTTGCTAGTAAATGCTCTGTTCCCAACCTTTTTTATGATGGCCAACATGGGATACTTAGTTCTCTGTCCTCTACCCACCTTATGAATTTTGTGTGTGTGTGTGGTGGAAATGGGGAAAAAGACTATGGGTGGTAAAAGTTTGACACATTACTCTCCTTTATGGAATGGCAAAAGATAATGCAGGCCCTTTATTTGTCCTGGCAAGGAAAAAAAGGGTATTGTCTCCATTCAGAGAACTTCTGCAGGCAGTGCAGAGCTAGAATGTAATAAGCTCCTTGAGGGCAAAGACTGTTTTATTTTTGTCTTTTGAATCACTAGCACCTAGCAACATGACTGGCACATCAATTCTGGATGATGGATTAATTTCAATTACAGTGCTGAAGTAGGGGGGAAAAAGAGGAATGAGATAGAAAAAGAAGAGGAAACTGTGCAAAGGAAAAGCTTTTTCTTGATTTTTTCCCCCCGAAAATAAGAATGAGGAAGGATGTGGGTCAATATGTCAGATCATTTGGGAAGTGCTCCCTTACTCGTGAGGGAGTGCAGGGGATAATAGTTTATTTACCATGTTTCTTCTCACTTAGTTCTCCTAGTGATCTGGTAAGGTTTCTGAGGTAAATTTCTGAGCCCATTGTCCTAAGAAATCAGATCTTACCACTGAGTGAGAAATCCACACTGGATGCTCCAAATATAATACTCTCTTTGGAGTAAATTGCCACCTCCCTGTCAGCACGGAGGTCATACAAGCGACACTGTAATTCAAATGGAGATTTAAAATAATTTTTATTTTGATTGTAATTCTAAAAAGCACAGCTTATGGAGACACAGGTAAGTCAAATGGTTTGTGCAATTTTAAAGACTGGAATGGAATGTAATCTTTTATCTCTTCCTCTTCCCCTCTCCCCTCCCCTTCCCTTCAGATTTCCTCTTTTCCATTTTCCTACAAGTTCTCATTATCAATGGGAAATAGGCAGTGGATTCCATGGAAGTATAAACATCAAGGAGTTCTCAAGGTATAAATAATTCTTGGGGTTTTGCATGATTTCCTTTTATAAAAATATAAATATTTCATTGACTTAAAAAAAATCACTGTTACTTTTCAATGACACATAACCTGCTTCCTTGCCAAGAACTCTTCCTTTCTCACAAAGAAGTATAATGCAAAACAAAGTAACTCTTATCTTTTCCCACTGTCTGAGAAGGGGCTTTAGAAGGCATATGACTGATTTTTTTTCTTCTTCTTGGAAAACTGTACTGACGTAATTCTCTCTTTCAAAAACAATATTCAGTAACTTGGAAACATACCGTAGCATCATCTGAACCAGAAGCAAAGGCATCTCCACTGGGGTAATATCTGTAGGAGACAAAGTTGTAGTTGCAAAATCATTCAAAATCACCATGCAATATGGCAGGCAGAGCATGATATAAAATTGTTATCATGTACTTTTATAGTGTGAAATTTTATGTTGATGGTATTTCTTTCAACCTTCTGAGATAGGTCATTATTTGTATCTCATTTTTGCAGAGTAGCTTAGTGATTAGAGAGCTGGCCTTGGAACCTAGAAAATCTGTTGAATTCAAGACCCACCTCTGCCACATACTAGTTGTGTGATTCTGGGAAAGTTACTTAGCTTCTCAGTATTCAGAGAAGGTGCCAATCTGTATTGGTAAAGAGAGAGTTCTCATCCAGAAGTTCACTATATCAGTGATCTCTCAAATCTAGTCCCCACCACTATTGTATCTTTTATATTACTTGTGCTTTGTGGTTATTGGGTTACAAATAATGATCACAGAATATCACAATTGCAGGTATTCCACAGGGAAATGGAAAGGTATGAAATAGATGGCAGGAGGGTATAGCCAGGAGTGTGCTGAAATCAGCTTGAATTAGCTCATGAGAAGCAGTTGTTAAATTTTCAATGTGAACATTCTTGAACTTCTGGAAATCAGCAAATACTACAAATTAAGGTTTAATTTATTGTTTTGTTGATTTCTAGACTTAAGAAAGTGATGGGGAAAAATTAAATATTAATTTTATTAAAATAGTAATATTATATTAATATTAGAAAAATATTAATAATGCAGATTAAATGTTGTGGGTACATTTCCCCCTGCAGAGAAATGGTTGTTAAACATATACCCGCACACCCCTGGCCACAGCATATTACCATTGATGATTGGTGCATAAGAAATGACAGGAAATGCAACTGTCAAAGATATATATATATATATATATATATATATATATATATATGTACACATACACACATACATACATACCTACATATATATATCTGGAAAATGAGATGGGCTAGTCATGTATTAAGAATTACAGACAATATGTGGAAAGCTTAGATGATACATTTAATACCCTTGAGATGTTCAAAGCACTGGACCAATCGATCAATCAATAAACATTTATTAAGCACCTACTATGTGCCAGGTACTTTGCTAAGTTCTGGGAATACAAAAAGGAAGCAAAAGACAGTCCCTGTCCTCAAGGAGCTTACAATCTAATGAGGAAGTCAACATGCAAAAAAAAATTGGAGCCTTTACTATACATGTGGGGCCCATTCCGCTCTTTCTTTAAACACACAAAACAAGTTATGTGCAGGTTAAATAAAAAATAATTAACAAAGGGAACGCACTAAAATTCAGAGCTGTTGGAAAAGGCTTCCAGTAAAAAAATGGGATTCTAGCTGGGACTTAAAGGAAGCCAGGAAGGTCAGTAGGAGTTGAGAAGGGAGAGTGTTACACTGAGTTGATCCTTTGTGAGAATTTATGGGAAGAAGTGGAACATAATTATACAAGATAGGAAGCTATGTAGTAGAGGCTGTATTACTCCAGCAGGCTCCCCCTTGGTCCAGTCTCCTCTCTCAAACCTGGGAAAGACACTGCACCACTCATTCCCAGTCAAGCACACCGAAGGCTTGGGCTCTCCCTAGGCGTCTCTTGATGACACCAGAACACCACACACACACCCCAAGACTCCAAAGAGGAGGAGGAGGAGGAGGAGGAGGAGGAGGAGCACAACGTAAATGATGAGAAAACTAAAGACAAAGTCAAGAAGGCTGAAGGAAGTAGAAAACTCCCAAGGAGAAGGATGAGACTCAGCAGCAGAGGCTACAGTGGTGAAGAACAACAAAGAGAAGACTGACAAAGATTCCCAGGTCACTGCTAACATGACTAAAGATGAGGAAGCAGAGAAGAAGCTCAGAGGCAAGAGTCTGAGAAGTGGGCTGGGTAGGTTCCTGTCTCTTGTTTCTGAGGTTGGTGGTGAAGCACTTAAGATTTCTGAGCCAAGCACTAAGTGAGGCAAAGGTCTTTCTGTCCTCAGGAGCCACCGCAGCTAGTGAAGTGGATGACAGGAACAAAGAGGAAGGGGAAGCCAAGGAAACTGAGGCTCCTGCAGCTCCCATTGCGCAAGAAACTAAAAGTAAAATGGCTCCAGCTTCAGACTCAAGACCTAGCAGCAGCACATTTTCTTCCAAAGAGACTCCAGGAGCAAGAGAAGCCCCTGGATCCACCCCTGAGGCCCAGGCACCTGCAGTTCCAACAGAAAAGGTTAAACCTTCTGAAGCCCCAGCCACTAATTTGGATAAATTGGTGCATATAAGTTTAGTATTGATATTGCTTCATTATCCATGGTACCTTTTATCATAGTGTAGCTTCCCTATTTATCTCTTTTTAAAAAAATATTTTTAGGCAATTTGGGTTAAGTGACTTGCCCAGGGTCACACAGCTAGTAAGTGTCAAGTGTTTGGTCTGACACCAGATTTGAACTCGGGTCCTCCTGACTTCAGGGCCAGTGCTCTATCCACTGCACCACCTAGCTGCCCCTTTCTTTTAATTAAATCTATTTCAACTTTGACATTTGTGTGATATTATGATTGCTACCACTGTTTTTTTTTTTTTTTTGCATTGGCTGAGGCATACTGCATTCTACTCCAGCCCTTTATTTTAACTCTGTGCGTGTCTCACATTTTTAAGTGTGTTTCTTGTAAGCAGCTTATTATCAAGTTCTGATTTTTATTCCATTCTTTTCTCTGTTTGTGTTTTATGGGTGAATTCATCCCATTCACATTCAAAGTTATAATTACTATTTGTATTTCCCTCCATCCTATTTTTCTTCACTATTGTCCTTCTCAGCCTCTCTTTTTATCCTATCCTTCCTCTAGTTTACTTCTAACCACTACCTCCCTATTACACAGCATTTTAAAGATTATCTCCCTTATCCTCTCCCTTAACCCTCCGTTCTCTTGTTCTGCCCTCTCCTCTAAGGGTCCCACCTTTTCTTCTTCCCCCACCCTCCTAAATCTTAATCTACAGACCCTTCTAACCCCCCCATCTTTTTTTTTCCCTCACCCTCTTATTTCTTTATAAATCTGGAAGACTATATACCCTTCTAGATGTATATGTTGTTCCCTCTTTAACCCAGATCTGATGAGAATAGGTTTCCAGCACTACCAACTTTCCGCCCCTACCTGATTCCTCTGTATCAGTTCTTCCTCTTGCACCTCATTTGCATGAGATAATTGTTCTTTTCACCTTTTCCTACACAATTTGGCTTCTTAGAATGATCACATCATATTCAGCTCATCCCCAATCTTTCTCTTGAACTATCCAATTACTAATGACAGTCTTATGAATAAGGTTTACATTTCCATATATAAAAAGTAAACAGTTTGACCTTATTGAATCTCTTGTAATTAGTCTTTGATGTTTACTTTATATTTCTCCTGGATCTTATATGTCAAATTTCCATTAAGTTCTGGTCTTTTTGTGACAAAAACCTGAAAGTCTGTCAATTCCTTGAATATCCTTTTTTTTTTCATTCAGGATTATACTTAACTTTGCTGAGTAAGTTATTGTTAGTCACAACCCCAGTTCTTTTGCTTTTCGATATATAGTGTTCCAAGACCTGTAGTCTTTTAGGGTAGTAGCTGCAAGGTCTTGTGTAATTCTAACTGTGGCTCTGCAGTATTTGAATTGTTTTTTCTTGTTGCTTATAATATTTTCTCCTTAACCCGGGGTTTTTGGAATTTGGCTATGATATTTCTGTAGATTTTCATCTTGGGATCTCTTTCAGGTGGTGATTGGTAAATTTTTTCTATTTCTACTTTTCCTTGTTGTTCTAAAACTTAGGGAAATTTTCCTTAATTATTTCTTGTAATATTGTATCAAGATTCTTTTTCTGATCATAGCTTTCAGGTAGTCCGGTAACTTTTCTGTTTTCTTGATCTGTTCTTCAGATGAGTTATTTTTCTTATGAGATGTTTCACATTTTCTTTTACTTTTTCATTCTTTTTATTTTGTTTCATTATTTCTTGGTGCCTTATAATGTCAATTCACTTCTCCTTGCCCAATTCTAGTTTTCAGGGAGTTGTTTTCCTTCTTAAGATTCTGAATATCTTTTTACAGTTGGTTGACTTTCTTTTCATAATTTTCTTGGTTTTCTTGTTTTGTTCTTATTTTTTTCCTAATTTTTTCCTCAATCTCTCTTATTTGATTTTTAAAGTCCTTTTAAAGTTCTTCCAAGAACTCTTTTTGGACACGTGATCATTTGACATTACTCTTTGGGGTACGAGAGGCTTTTTTTTTTTTTTGCTTCAGTATCCTCCTCTGAAAATAAACCCCAGTTTTCTCTATTCCCATAGTAACTGTCTGTGGTTGAGTTCTTTCTCCTTTGCTTACTCATTTCATTCATTCATTTATAGCAGCTTATTATAATCCTCTCCAGTCCCAGGGTATGGGGGATGGTGCCTCTGGCCTCAGGTCCTTCTAACTATTATTTTCTGAGCTTTGTCCAGGGCCCAACCTCAGCATTCCTTTCGCCCTCCAAGCCATGGCTAGGGCCCCCAACCACACTATGCTGGAAATGCTCTTGCTCCCTGAGAACCCTCCAGTGGCTGTAATCTTCAGTTCTCCCCTCTGGCCTGGAATTGAAACCAGGAACTCAGTGCTCCTGTAAGTGCCCATAGCTAGCAGCGTCCCTGCCCCACTGCTTCTGCACTCACCTGGTATGTGCTGGTTCCTTCTCGTCTTCAGCTGCAGCCTAGGATGGGAACTGTGGCTTGGCAACATAGCTGGGCCTGGCATCCCTTGGCAGCTTTAATCTTCCCTTACTTGGATGTCTGACCCCCCAAACTGTCTGTGAGGTGAGAATTCCTGTGGCTGAGGCTGAGACTACCTATCAACTCAGTTGTCCTTGGGCTCATTGTTTGTTGTTTCTGTGGAGATAGCCTGGAGATATTTGCATTTCACTCAGGCCAAACCTCCAATTCTGGTCTTCTCCAGTTGTCCCCGCAGGACCACTGTTCTGCACCAACTCTTGTTATTTTTGCTGCTCTACATTCACCCTGAAGTCCTATTTTGTCTTGTTTGTGGAGGAAATCTGGACAGTTTGGAATTTTCTGACCTACTCTGCCATCTTCCCAGAATTCCCCAAGTGCCCCAGATATAACTTCTTATGTTATGATGAACCAGCCTGAAACTGCACTCATCAGAAGAGAGGGCAACAGATGAGGCTCTGGAGTTGGCCAGAATCCCTGGAGATCCTGAAGTGTTTGGGACACAATATGGCATTTACATCAACCAGAAGTGTGTTGATGGGGTAATGTCACTGAGTCTTAGTAAACATGACTAGGTTCAGCACCATGCTGTCAAGTTAACTGGGTCTGCGTGTTTTTGTTCATTTGCTTACTTTTGCCTCACATGCTAAGTCATACCACTTCTCTGAGAGTTACTAGAGAAAGAAAACTCTGATGAAAAATTATATGCAAATTGTGTATATGTAATGAAGCTATTTTACAAGGGAAGCTGATAGAGGGGAATACCAGAATTTTTGAATATCCAAATGAGTTTTGTCTTTCACAAGTGCTCACATCATACTTATTCTAATGATATTGCCTTTGTTCAAAACATCTTGTCTGGGATTCCTTCACTGAAATTATTTTTAGAGGTAATTTATTGGCCAAATCGGATCCATTACTTTGTAGTCACATCTTGACTTGACCAAAATCAGCACCACCCAGCTTGCTCACCCATTTTATAAGGCTTGAATAATTTGTGGCCATTGAAAAAAAAATCAAATTCACCTGAGGATATAAAAAAGAATGCAACCCCTCCCCCCACAAAGTGGTGTTTTAAACATGGGAGCTCCAGTAGAATAAGTGTATGAACAGTCCTGGGGATTCCTCTGGAGGGGACAATGTGTACTTTAATGTATAAGTTTTGGCATGTTTGGTTAAAAACAAGTTCTATTACCTAAAGTTGGGATGCAAGAAATGTGAATACACTAGCATTCTGTAGTTGTGTCACTGACCATTCACTGTATTTCCCCTACCCACCTACTCTCTGGATGGGTTATATGGTTCCAAATAACCAGTTGAACAGCAGAATATTTGGTCAACCAACCACCTTATCATTACAGAGCAATGAAAGCAGATTTACTGATCTCTTCTGGATTAATGATCTACCAATTCCTTCTCGCTCAGTGTCCATCTTCTTTTATCTACCTGTAAATTATCCACTCTCTCTAACCCATCACACCATACACACTCCTATTAACCTATCCCACCACTTATACTTGATAGTATTATTATGATACCCAAGTGACACAGTGGATAGAAACTGGGTCTGGAGTCAGGAAGACCTGAGTTCAAATCCAGCCCCATATATTTACTGTATGACTCTGTATGATAATATTTGTAAAGTGCTTTGCAAACTTTATGGTGCTATGTAAATGCTATCATTATCATCATCATCATTATCTGTGTCTCTATCTGCCCTCTCTTCAAATATCAATGCCTTGCAAAGAAACAAAAAAGAATTCAGATAGTTAACTGGTTATTTTCTTTACCTAGTATCTACTCTTCTCCTTGTTGTATTTTTGTTTATAATCTTGTGTCACATAAACACAATTTAAGGGGCAGAATAACAATGAGGCTCATTTTTTGGGAAAAAAATCTTCCCTTCAAGGTCTTGTAGATATTATCTCCAACTGCCCTTTAAGTTTCAATTTATCCATATTCTGAAAAAAGAGCAAAGTAGAGAAATGTAATATAGATGTAAGGCATATAGTAATTTACCAACCTGACACTGTTGATATCAGATTCATGTGTTTCAAATGATTGGATGCATTGGCCAGAGCGCATGTCCCAAACCATGGCTTTTTTGTCACATCCCTAGAAATAAAAAAAGTCGTTCTGAGTTATATGCCTAAAAGGACAATATGGGTAAGGGAATGGAATGAGAAAGAAATGTAGGCATGGTGCATCAAAAGACTATTGGATGTGGAACCAGACGATTTGTGTTCAAGCGCCAGCTTGACCGATTATTCCCACGGTCCTGGGCACATCCTCTTTGAGTCTCACTTCCCTTATTTGCTAAGTGAACATAGTAACTGTGACACTTTCTACTTTACAAAGTTGTTGTGAGAAAAATGCTTTGTAAATTTTAATGTGCAATATAACTATGGAATATAACTTAATACCATGTTAGCTAATACTACCTAAACATCTCATATTTCTTCAGTAAAATGAACCAATATCCTGACCTAATGGATCAAGAGCTAGTCTTGATGCTAGGAAGATCTGGATTCCAGACCTGCCTCTGATATATACTGGCTGTGTGAATCTAGTTGAGTTGCTTAAAATTTCAGCGATTTAGGCAAATCTCTAAGACTAAGTTGCAGAGAAGGTACTAATCTGAAATGGTGGAGGGAGTCCTTATTCTAATGAAATTATAGGTTCAGTTCCTTTCCCCTATAAAATAAAGAGATTGTTTTTTCTGCACAAATTTGATCTAAGGCAATCATTTTCAATTAAATAAGTTTTTGGGGGGCAAAGAGTATGTCTGATTTTTTTTTAAGACAGCAGAGCTTGTGGCTTCGAGGTATAAGAGAGAAGTGGCATTTGGATCATTCTATTATTATTTCTATTTTCTATTAATTCTATTTTTCCTTTTCAGAGTAGGTAGAAACTATTGCAGAGACTACTTCCTAACTATTTCTTCTCCCCTTTGAATCTTTTCCTCCCCCTCCCTCTCACCTTTCCACAGCCAAAAAGGCAAAGACAATCAAGGGTCCAAAAACTGCTCTAGTCCCTCATTTCCCCCCATTTCTAGTTCTAAGGAATTAAATAAGGCAAAGCACTTGGTAATTGAAAGAGTATTCCATAAATATCAGTTCTCACCATTGATCTCTCACAAAGGTACTACTCTCACGTTTCATCATGACATAAAAATGACCCCAGGTTCCAGAAGGCCTTGCCAGCAGAGTTTAGGCCCTGACATGCCTTCAAATATGGGCACACTGGCACTCTGTATATCTCTTTGTTGTTGGTGGTTTTTTTTTTTTTGGTGAGGCAATTGGGGTTAAGTGACTTGCCCAGGGTGACCCAGCTAGTAAGTGTTAAGTGTCTGAGACCAGATTTGAACTCAGGTCCTCCTGACTCCAGAGCCAGTGCTCTATCTACTGTGCCACCTCACTGCCCGGCACCACGTTTTTTATCTGTCATTTTTGCCTTAATTTTTTTCCCAAGCTGTTTTTTTTTCTTTTATAGAAGATTAATGTAAACATAACTTGTCCCTAATTGTTCTTCTTAGCTGCCTAAAAGAAAAAAAAATCATTTCCTGCAAGTGCAGTAAATATATTATTTCATTTTTTTTCTCTTTTTCAATTACTTGATTTTGTAGCTGAGAAATCTGAGGTCCAGAGAAGTTGTCTTCAAATAGTTAGTGGCTGAGCTGAGCCTAGAATCAGGTTCTCTCATTTCCAAATTTCCCCTTTCTTTTACTATACCACATTGTCTCCCCAAGTTCCCCTATAACCACTACACTCCCTCTGTGTCTATTATACTATGACCCTTGATGAACCCTCCAATTTCTTGGTGTTTTCACAGATCTCGGGAGTTGTTCGTATCACATGGCTCAGTCATGTATTCTTTGTTCTCCTGATCCTCAGAAAGGGGATGTTGGTCTTTTAGTTACTCACAGATGCTCGGCTGTGACTAGCTTTTTATTTATTTATTTATTTATTCATTGGTGAAGCAATTGGGGTTAAGAGACTTGCTCAGGATCACACAGCTAGTAAATGTCAAGTGTCTGAGGCCAGATTTGAACTCAGGTCCTCCTGACTTCAAGGCTGGAGCTCTATCCACTGCACCACCTAGCTGTCCCTGACTAGCTTTTTATTTAAGAAAAAAAATAGCCCACTAAGATTTTTGCTTTGATCCAACAGGATATATCTTAAGTATGGAACCTTTCCAGAAAATCTGTATGATCCCCTGAAAATCTAAGAAAGAAGGGATTGTAGAGAATGGGACCCACATTCATAGACTTTTTACTGGGTAATGTTCACTAAAACAGTAGATTACAGTGTTTGGTTACAAAATACTATAAAAACATGGGAAGACGGGTCTGGTAACCATACTCTCAGCCTATCTGCCTCTCTCTCCTTTTGTCTAGAATCTTTGAGTTTTTCTCTCACCTAACTCAGGTGAAGAGTCACTTATCCAGATAGCAAGCCCCTGGTTAGCTGGGTCTTCCCTTATGAAAAATGTCCCCATGGCCCTTATTTAATGTTCACATTCCCTGGAGACAGGTATCCATTTATTTTAAAAGCCTCACCCCAGACACAAAGGTGTTTCCTGTTTCTGAAGGTGCCAAATCCAGGCAGAGAACATCGGCTCCATGTCCGTGAAAGCTCTGGAGAAGCTGTCCACTCTCCACGTCCCACAGGGCACAGGTCCCATCCCCACTTGCAGTCAAGATCTGCCCAGCAAGAAAAGGACAAAAATATTGTTGTTATGGCTAATATAAAGTTATTATTAGTGATAAACAAAATGTTTGAGGTACTAACAAGAAAAGCTGGCTCTCCTTAAAAACAGTATGGTACAGAGGAAAAAAAAACCAGTGATTTTGGGGTTAAGGCACTAAGATTCAAATCCCATCTCTGACACTACTTATGGGACATTGAGTAAAGCATATCACCTCTTTGGGCCTCAGTTTCTTCATCTGTAAAAGAAGTGGGGCTGGTCTAAATGGCCTCTAAGGTCCTTACCAGTTTTTGATCTATGATCCTAAAATCCTGCTCTGGAGATTCCAAAAACTTGGCTCACTCCAGATAATTTGTTGCATCAGACCCATCTGGAGGCTACTAGATACTTTGACTTCCTGACCTTGAACCAGAACTTATCGACTCCTTTTTGGCTTGGGCTGTAGCCCCAAGCCCACCATGCCCATGAAGGACACTATCTTTGTCTCCCACTGCTATGCCAACAACCTGACAGCAGTTGAGGCAGCAGCTTGACTGCTTTTACCCCAGAAGGCTGGGGAAGAAGAGTTAGGCTGCTTTTGGAGACAGGTGAAGGAAGTGGGACTGAATGTTTGGGAGAAGGTTTGCTACTGCTAGGTTTTCCATCAGAGTCCATCTATGAGTTCATTTTGATCTCAAATGACAACAGTTATAGACTGAACTGAAGAAAACTCTCCCTGAGCTCACAACAGTATTAGACAACTGGAGACTCTTGGGCATAGACATCACACTGTCTATAGCTGGGAAACAAGTGAATAGAATAATAAACATTCCATTGCTAAGAGAAATGGAAAGAACAGAAGCCCTGGACCTTCTCACACATGACATGTAGCATTCATCCTATATGTCATGGAATGCATCCTACAGTTGGAAGGGCATCCCTTTTAATATCCTAACCGATGGATAAATCTCTTCCCACCCCCACCCACCTTTCTACAATAATCTCCAGAGCACATTCAAAATTGGCTAGAGAAATGATCAAAATGGTGTTTAACTTGGAGTCAGGAAGACTTAGGTTTAAATTCCCCCGAACATTCATTGGCTGTATGACCACAAGCAATTCACTTAGCCTAGGGACTCAGTTTCCTTCCTCTGTAAAATGAGGATAATAATATCTGTACTACCTATCTCATGGAGTTGTTATGAGGCTCAAATGAAATGATAAAGCACTTTGAAAACTCTGAAATGATTTATCAGTTATTATGATATACCTATAAAGTGAACACCATTTATCTCTATCTTTTCAAAAGTTAAATTTTACTTTGAAATCAGTTTTTTTTTTTTTTTGCTTAGGCAATTGGGGTTAAGTGACTTTCTCAGGGTCACACAGTTAGTATTTGAACTCAGGTCCTCCTGACTCCAAGGCCAGAGCTCTATCTACTGTGTCACCTTGCTGCCCCTAGTTTAATTTTTCATGTGTAGTTTTCACATTACACTATACCCCCCCCCCCACATTCACAGTCAGCATGTTAAATAAGGGATCTCATTCTACTGTTCCTTTCCTTTCCTCTTCTGCCCATGCCATTACCAGAGTACTGGGCACCTGGTAAATGCATCCTGAAAAGGGCACAAAGAAGAGAAATCACTGTTTGCAGCTACTCCGGGGCCTGTTAAGAGCCAACCAAGATCAACCAGGCATCACGCAATAGTTCATTAGGTTTGGCAGTTTGAGAAAATAGGACTAAAAGTTTGCTAAGTAGCACATGACCGTATTTCCAAACCTCAGGCTGGCTCCAGAGCTTGAAAACTACTCCAAAAAAGTTAGGTCTGGATTCAATTCCAAATGACTCACTCTAGTCTAGACTTGCCCCTGGAAGTCTATAAACTTCTGGTAGAATGTCTTGGGGCTGATGAAAGAAATAGAAACTTAATTAAATTACTAAAGTTGAATTCTATTTTCAGTTCTGTTATGAATATTTTGTTCCATGCTCTATTTTTTCAGTCTAATTTAAAGTTGATAGATTTATATCTGTCAGGGACCTTGGGGAACCATTTTACAGATGAAGAAACTTTGATATATTCCCATTGACGGGATGTTGTGACATTTAATTTTTTTCATCCCATCTAACACCTAGCAATACTTTGCCCATACACAGTAGCTACTTAATATGTGTACGTATGTGAAATGTGAGTATATTCAGCATATATGAGGTGTTCTCAAAAGACTTTTAAGCTACTAAAGCATAAAACTACACTATGATTTTTGGAATATCCTTTATATCGAAACCAAAATGTAGAAAGGTTAAGTAACTTCCCAAGGTCACAAATGTAAACACCTATTGGAATTTGAACCTGGGTCCTTTGACTCTAAATTCAATGCTCTTTCCATGCTGCCTATGGTTATTTAATTACTAATTTCCTATTCCTGCTCTCAAATATGTGGAAAATTGGATGATTTCCATAAAATTAAAACTTCTTGGAATGGTCAACAAGCGCTTTAAAAAGGTCACCCAACACAATGTGTTCTCTTTTCCTCTTATCTCTTCCTCTTCACTGTAGCTGTAGTAATGGACAGGTGAACACTTGGAGTTTTCGATTATAGGCAGATTTTCAAAGGAGAATTCTTTTGCTCAGGTTTTATGATTCCTGTTATCAGAACCAATCCCAATGTAGGTCCTGGTCCTTTTGATTCACTGACTCAGGCTCAATATAACAAAAAAGACTTTGTAACAATTAGAACTGTCCCTAAGTGGAACAAACTGTCTTGAGAGGTATAGTGAGCTACCTCTCATTGGAAGTCTTTAAGCTAAGGCTTCATGAATGCTCATTAGGGTGTCACAGTTGGATTTCTTGTTCAAGTACCAGCTAGGTTAGACAAATTCTAAGGACACTCTCAACTCTGAAATTCAGTGCTACTATAAATTTCTACAGAAATTTACTTAACTGAATCTAATACTCAGGAACTGTCACAAGTTTACCCAGTGGGTCAGTACCCCTTCCCTTAACTTATGGTACTTAGCAGTCAAATGTCACTTTCTTACTCTCTTCACTTTTTTACCATTATTGTTGCCAGCTATAGTGCCAACTTTTCTAAATGTACATTAAACTGGCTAAAATCCAACAATGATTCACACTTTGACAGGCTCAATCAACAAGCGGTAAAACTATCTTCCTCAGGTTTCCACACAAGTCAACCAACAAACATTTTGGGCAACAGAACACCATTAGAATCTACTGATTGGTAATCAATGAATCTGCTGCAAAGCAAGGACAGATTAAATTATTTAGGTCCTTAACTTTATGCACTGCTCTTTTCTTTCATCCAAAAATATTGTAACCCATTGTGGGTGTTATAGGTAGGATGTTTTCTCTCAGAAAGAGGTTGGTAAATTGGTGTTTTGATTTGTTTGGGTCACTGATTTTATCAATGAAAGAAACTGCTGGAGAAGTAACAACCTCTATGAATACAGATCATTATCTTTTCTGCAATTTATAATCATTGAATTGATTGGAGCAATGAGTGTGGTTAAGTGACTTGCTCAGGGCCACACAAAAAGTATGTGTCAGAAATGGGACCTGAATCCATCTTGTCCTGGCTCAAGGTGAGTTTTCTATCTACTTAAAGATGTTGTCTCTCATGCCAAGTGATAGGAGAAATTACAAAAACATTACCTCTGATATAAAAATCAGAAGTAGTAAGATGATTTGAGCTCAACTAAAAACAATTTGCTAAAGTTGTATTACATTTTCAGTATTTTTAGTTTTTGCCTTCTTTTGAATATAGAAGTATGTAAAGAAGGGCCTAATTTAATGGAGATTATTTTCAACATTTTCAGTACTTTGAGGATTTTAAATGTTTTATCTTAAAGTGAGAATTTTCTATGAGCCAGTGATAACTGGCCTCCTTTGTCGTTTCTCAGATACAACATTCCATCTCTCTGCCTTTTCATCAACTGTCCCCATGTCTGAAATGCCCTCCTTTCTTAACTTCACCTTCTGCTTTCCCTGGCTTCCTTCAAGTCCCAGTTAGCATCTCACCTTTTGCAAGAAGCCTTTGCAATTCTATTTAATCTTAGTGCCTTCCCTCTGAGGTTGCCCTGCATTTGGGGCCATCTCCAGTAGTCCTGATCTATATCTTGCCTCTGGACCAAGATGGCTCTGGAGGAGAAAGAGAGGCTGGTGACTTTGCACAGCCCTCCTTCACTTAAATCCATTTCACTTGCATATCATGGCATCACCTCCCTGATGTCATAGCCCTTTTTGAGAATGAAGGACAACAGCAACCTCCAATCTCTCACTTATCTACATCCATATATCTTGTTTGTACATAGTGGTCTGCAGGTTAAATTTTGATGAATTTGGGGGAGAAGGGAAGTCACAGCAACTCTTTTTCTTTTAAGGGTTCAAATTTTTAAAACATTTTTTAAAAATGAAATTTTATTTTGTTTTTGTTTTCAATTCCAAATTCTCTTCTTTCCTCCTCTTCCCTTTCCCCTACCTATTGCTTGTTTCATCATGAGTCCTTTGAAACTGGATAACAGAAACTCTTAAAAACCATCTCAGGCATGGAACGGTAGCAATATACATCAGTTAAAAGAATATCCAGTTTAGTGAGTTCACTGATTCTTGAAGTAATGAAGACAATCAAAGGAGAACAGAAATTCCTTTAGAATTGGGGTTCTTAATCTTTGTGTGTGGGTGTGTGTGTTATGGGTCTCTTTGACAGAGTCTGGTGAGGCCTAGGGAGTGCTTTTCAGAATCTTGTTTTAAATGCAAAAACAAAACAAAACACACAGTATTACAAAGAATATTAATCATACAAAATACAGTTATCAAAATTTAAAGACAAAAACAAGTTCACAGACCTCAGGTTCTGTGAATTTCTACTGCAGGAGAAAACTTTGGCAGAATACACAGAACCACAGAATTCCTACATCTTTGCCATTCAATGAGGACCACCTGTGTAGTCCCCATCTCTACATCTCCTGCTGTTCTGCACACAGCTGATGCTTGCTAGGTTAAGCAATAGCAAATCTATGACAGTTAGGTGATTGTTTACCTGCATATCCGAGTTGGTGAAGCTGCAGGCTGAAAGGTAGTTGGTATGCATTGCGACAGACTTCTTTTTGGCGGCCATATTTTCATTTTTGTCAAAAGTCAGGGGATACACAGAACACTTATTGTCCAAGCCACTAACATGAAAAACAAAGAAATTTCAAACATTGATACCATTTGGGGAGAAGAGTTGGGAGGATGGGGAAGTTTAAATGAGTCTGTGAAATCCTTTTTGTTCACTTGTTTCTGAAATGTAAATTGTCAACTTTATATTGTAGATGCTTGGAGTACCATGTATTCAGACATAGAAATGAGGGCAGTAGTAATATATATATTGCAGGTTAATGTTTATAGAAAATGAAAATTGACTTTAGTGGTTGACTCTTTTGTAGAAGATGAAGCAATGCATTTGAGCACTGTATATATAAAGAAAAAGGATCCACAGGATATTTCCTACACTTAAAAACACTGTAAAACCAGTATTTCATTTGGAACTTTGTATTTAAGATTATAAAGCATTTTGGTATCTGCTAGAATATACTGAATGACCACAGGATACATCACAATCCCCATCATTCTGTCATTATAATGACAAAAGTACTGTAGTCCTTTGAAGAAAATCTGGAACTAATCAGCCCACCCTCGAGTCTTCCAAGTTGGGGACGAGACTCTGTTTTGGACAATTGTTGAAGCCCCTACCCTTTACTCCTGGTACTCCCTACTCACACGTACACACACATCTCTCCCTTCTAATTAGGGCAAAAATGAAGCCCCAAAATGAAGAAATCAAAGTATAAGCTAGTTATAGTGGGGAAAGGATCAGAGGTATAGCTTATTGGGTTTGTTTTGGGGGGCATGGACTACCTTAGTTCAGGGGGTCTAGACCTAGGGTCTGTGAACTTTTAAAAATATATTTTGATAATTTTATTTCAATATGATTGACTTCCTTTGTAATCATATATTTTGTTTTAGGCATTTAGAAACATCATTTTCAGGAACGGTCCATAGGTTTCATCAGACTTTGCCAAAGGGGCCCACAACACAAAAATGATAAAGAATCTCTGACCTAGAACATTCTGGCTATGGCAAATGTCACACTGAAAAAGGATGTGACATTATAGTACTCTATTTTTTTTAATCTCAAAACCTGAAAATTATATGATCAATAAGTTTACATTTACCCAGAGTGAATCGTTATTGATGATAATGTGTATATGAGGCACTTTATTAATTATACTAAAAAAAATTAACTGTACTAGAATCAACTTTCAATGATTTAGAGACTAACACCCAGTGAGTGAACTTGCCTACCAATTCTCAACAACTGTTTTCACTACTAGCAACCTAGAAAGCCTGAACCTCAGGGAATTTGGGGCATTCTAACAATGTCTGGTTGATTTGGTAATACAGCCCTCCATTAAAAGTACTATCTAGTTGTTTGTTGTTGTTGTTGTGTGTATGTGTGAATGTATACTGAAACTAATTTTGTGAACTGTAGCAGTTCATTAAACTTTTTGAGATAACTGTATACATTGGGCTATCACAAAATCAGAGTTGGTAATCATTAAGTTAGGTTCTCTGTTAGAAGCTCAAAGTAGCTAGAATTGTTCTTAGCAAAAGATTTAGTGAGGGAGAGGATGAACATTTTTTTATCTATAAAGAGAATTTAGCCTTGTTTTAAATTTTTGACATTATCCGTGTTTATAAGCAGTACTGTGGTAGGTGCAATAGATTAGAAGACCAGCTTTAGAATGAAAAAGACCTAAGTGCCTCTGACACATACTAACTGTGGGATCATGGGCAAGTTATTTAATTTCTTGGTGACTCTAAGTCTGTAAGTTAAAGTTGGTAAATTACAAGGGACTTACTCATCTGCATTAGTAGACAGAATTGTTTAATTCTCATTCATAACCTGGTGAGGCAGGAAAGGGAGGCAGGTGGAGGAACTGAGGCTTAGAGGTCAAGAGCTTGCCCAGGTAGCAGAGTCAAATTCAGAGCCTGGACTCTCCTGAGTGAAGATATTCCTGCTATACTGAGTATGCTGCACATGCAAGATCTGGCTCCATAACACTCTAGAGTTGTTGCATTAATGTCTCTTGATAGGAATGATACAGAGAAAAGCCCAATGGGGAATGCCACAGTTGGGGGAAGAATGTGGAGAAGTTGGAAACTGTCACTTCAAGAGTACTCAAATGGATTGGTGATCTAATCAACTGGGAAGTTCCTTCCAAAGATGCAGAACACAAACTGTCCATCCTTCCTTATCCCACGTGATTCTTATCCATATCCTCCCTTAAACCGGCCACTTAAGTGTAGCGAGTGTCCATCCAACCAGCTGGAGACAGGTCTTGTTTTCTTCTAACATGTGAAAATACTAATGGAGCGCTCTAGTTACCCACCTGTTATCCCTCGCCCTGAGCACGTGACCAGCTCATCTTCTTGGTCTATCATATGTTTCCTGGATGACATTTTTATTCCTATTCTTTGGATTTCCTCATTGATTTCCTGCTGGAGCCTGCTCACATACACCGTGTGTCTCTCCATTGCCCTGTGTGATACTCATTTTTAATATTTTGGAGAGTGTTGTACTTAATGTCTTGTTGCCAAATGGCAACAGTGGCAGAATGTTGATGTTAAAAAGATAGTTTCTGTTTCCATGGGAAACTTGGGGTTATTAAAGGAACTTTACAATTTTTTGAAGGCAACCCAGCCGATTCTTCTCCTCCTGTTCAATTCTAAGCCCAATTTGTGGTCCATCCATATTAATTATCCCAGATATAAATACTAATGGAAAAGTGCTATGATATGTCCATACAAATGAAGCTCATCATATAGGTAATACGTAATATTCATCCACTTGGTATTTCCTGTGTGGATGATTATACCAAGCTCTTTTGAATGGTTATAGGTCTCCTTTAGAATGTATTTCAGTTTTGTGGAGCTTGATGGAACCAGTACAGACTCTTCTGAAAACAGGGGCATCTGAAGGCCCTCACCATCTGCAATAACATCTCCTTCCAAATGGGCTTTGTGCTGTATCGGCTGTATCACAGTGGCAAATACTTTTGAAGAGCATATTCCCCATTTGATGTTTTGACTGATATTTAAAATTAGAGGGTCATTGAATAGGGTTATTCCTGTTGCTATGTCTTGAAAGATTTTGATGCATGGATGGTATACTTTGCTGTAAAAGAACGTTTAAGGCAGTGTCTTGCTCTGCTGACTCAAATGCTTTTTCATGATCAACAAAAATACAATGTAATTTTATATTTTCTATGACTTTCAGTTAGACAAGGGGGATTCAGGACACTTTAGATGCCATGCCTCTGGGTTACACAGCCAGTGAGTGGGTTTGATGATGCACTTAGACCACGTAAGCATCAGAAAACCTGACTTATAAATAAATATTGGAAGTATTGAAAGTTATTTAGTTTGTAGAGGTAGGTAAGGGAGAGACCTAGTCAAGTGAGAGCCTGAGTTTAATAATTTCTAACTTACTTTAACCTGGGGCTACTATTTAACTTTATATAGAGATTCTTATAAAATCCTAGCAACCAGGTGTTTTCCCTCTCCACTGAAATAGAAAAAAAAAATAACAAGGTTGTTGTAGAGGGGATTTCTGCTCAGTTATGAGCTAGAAAAGATAACCCTTAAGTTTCTTCACATGCTGAGGCTCTAGAATTTGTAGGAAGAAGGATTTTAGTTAAAGATTATAAAGAACAACTTTTCTATTTGTGAGTGCTGTTAAACAGTGAGATAAACAACGAAATCGGTTATCAAAAGAGACTTTGAATCTCCTTTCCCAGAGAGATCTCAGAACGTATTAGATAATCATCTCCCCTGCACTGAGAGAACACTGTAGTCCTTTATAGCCCTGTGATTTTATGAAAAAGGTATTGTGATGATCCTGAACATCTTAATGCACACCCAAAAGTTAGACTACAAAAGAGAAGGCTGGGTAATTCCCAGGCCACCATGTCCTTCGACATTATTTTCTAGGATGATGGCTCTTTTCTGTTTCCCTAATTCTCCTGGTAGTGGTTGGTGGCCCAGTGGATGGAACACTGACTTTAGGTGTCAGGAGAACTTGTGTTCAAATCAGGCCTCAAGTACTTACTAGCTGTGTGATCCTGGGAAAGTCACTTCACCTCTTTCTGCCTCAGTTTCCTCAACTGTAAAAGGGGATAATAACACTGCCTATATCCCAGGATTGTTGTGAAGATCAAATGAAACAGTATTTGTGAAGCGCTTTGCACAGTGCCTGGCACATAGTAGGTGTTTAATAAATGGTCGTTTATTTTCTTCCTCTGTTACTCAGGTTAATAGATTACTTACTTATAGATATTGAGCAGCATTTTCAGCTCCATGGAACAGGAACCCTTCTCTTGACTCTAGAACTGGACAGAATCACATTTCCCCTTTCTGATTTATCAGCCTCTACTAAGGATTACATTCCTCCGCGCAGTAGACTAAGTGGGACTCATCAGCAGCCTCAGATTGGTTTTTATCAAAAAGCGGAAACTCCTCTATTTCTGAATATTTAGTTTTGAAAACTCATACAGCCAGTGAGGGCCATTCTCTTCCTGCGTTCTCCCCCTTTCTCCCCGCCGTAATACCCAGCCCCAAGTCTTGTTCTCCTTGTCTCAGATTTCCTGCACTGACTTCCTTGTTTCTAGCTATTCATTACTGGGAGAAGCGGCTATTTTACTGTGAGAGGTATGAGAAAGCAGGGAGCGTGCTGCGTTGATCAGCAACAGCTGACTGCAGAAGGACTTCACCCATACCCCAGGAAGGAACCTGGCCTGATGTTTACCTCTCTCCATTTGTTCAGTACAGACTGTTAGTTTGTCTTCTCATTACAACTGGCTGAATCAAGATAAGGAAAGTGGCAGCTATCAAAGGGGCCAGAAGCAGGGATTGAGCTCAGACTGACTCATCCCCAAAAGTATAAGAAACATGCCCAGGAGTCATGGGTAAGCCCCAGTAAATAGCCACTTCACATAACACCCTGAACGTGAGCTCCTAAAATGAAAATACAAGATGTCGAGTCTGAAAATTAATGCCTCTCTTGGTCCCTTTGAGAAGGGAATTACTAACCAGTTGTGTTCACCTTCTTTGTAGGTGGTTACGATCGGAATGTTTTGTCCTTTACCCAGGACAAGGCGGACACTTCTTTGTTCTTCCCGTACAGCGTGTTTGGCTACCACTCACCTTTGATTAAATAAGTGCGCGGTGTGATCTGCCTCCCATAGCAGGCTGTTTGTGCTTTTTAAGGGATTGACTGTTCTCCCACTGCCTTTTATTTAAGGAGATTACTCAACCATTCACTGTTTCAGTTTCTCCAGTTTAAAAAAAATTGAACAGCATCTGCCTCTGGTGTACTTCAGAGTCTGGACATTTTAAATATATTCATGTGGAGTGAGAGAGACTGCAGGAAAAAGGGAACTAAGAGAAGGAGGTTAGGGAGTTTCTGGGAGTTGACTTTTTCACTTTCTTGTTTGGGGGAAGGGAGAGGATTGCACATGTTTTAAACTCCTTAATGAGAATATAGATTATTCTCCTGGGCAGCTGGGTGGCAGATGTAGTGCTATATACATCTGGAGTTAGAAAGACCTGAGTTCAAATCCTGCCTCAGATACTTATCAGTTGTAAGACCCTGGGCAATTCACTAAACCTTTCTCAGCTTCATTATCCTCATCAACCCTTCCTAGGGTTGTGAGGATAAAATGAAGTAATATTTGTAAAGCGCTTTGCAAACCTTAAAGCACTATGTAAATGTTATCTAGCTCTTATGGATGTAGAGACAGAATAGCATAGTAGATAAAGAGCTGTCCTTGGGTCAGAAAGACCTGGGTTCAAGCCTGGCCTTCCACTTTTACTGGCCATATGACCGTGGGTAAATCACTTCATCTTTCAGTCTTCTAGGGACCTAAGACAGTAAATTGCAGGAAATATATTGACCTGATCTGATAAGAGTTTCTTCACTGTGAATTCCCTACACTAATGATTTCATATACCCAATGTAAAAATATATATAAGAGGAAGGTCAAGTTTTACTCCTTAAAAATTATTGGGAAGCAAAGAACGGGACGCTCATTTTAATGGCATATCTTTTGTAGGAGACACGAACAGTGAAATTTCTTGCCAAAAGAAAATAAAATGAATCTGATTGAAAGTTTGAGATGTTCTATTCTACTCACCCACAGGCAATGGCACATCCTGATGGGGCATAGGCACATGCCATCACCCAGGTACAGGGCATAGTCACTGCATGTTCCTGAAACATACACAAAATCAGAGAAATTCTTTTACAGTTATTTGTAAACTTAATTTGAAGCAAATCATAACTTCCTATAAGTTCATGCAGTTATTTCAGAGATATATTTCTCATGGAAAATTAGTTGGCTATAGGAAAAATAAATTTCTTTTCCCCAAAAGTGTTTCTATTCACTAATAGGCCATAAGAAGTTAAGGGACTGGAGTTTGAAATAGGCAGTGTCAATCCCAAGAACCAGACACTTGCTTGCAAGGTTTACGTCCTCTGCTGCTTTGGCAAGTGGCAAATCCCATCCCACATCTTTCCTCCTTCAACACATCAAAATTCAAGGAAGAAGTTGATTCTTTATGTCATAGGTCAAACTGGGTACACCTCAACTCCCCACACCATATCACAATTTTCAGTAACTATTCCCCAACGTTGGCTTCATAAGTGGCCAAGACATGGGAGAATGTGAGGCAGGGGCAGAGATTCCCTGATCATGAACTTTTTGATACCTCAGGAACTAGACATTCATTTACACTAAATAAATCAGACTTCTCTCTCCAATTTGAAAATTCAACTCTTCATACAATGGGAATTACTGATATTTTAAAGAAATTCTCCAATACAAAAGCAGTATTGATTTTTAAAATGCATTTAGACAGTGAAAAATATTGAAAGTGTTTTATCTGAATGATGTGTTTTCAGTTATTTTGTATTGGAATCTATATTTAATAGATATAACACATTGTAAACAAAGAATTTATGAAGGAGAATCAGTATAAAGGATGTCATAAAATAAATGTTTGAGTTAAAAAGACGGTCTGGTCACATAACAATAGATTGCGAAAACTAATGGACAACTCTTGTGTTTCATTGTTTCACAAAGATGTAAAGAAGAAGGAAGGCCTCATGATCCCTAGTGGACTCCTTGTGATGAACTTAAGGCATGAGGTGTTGCATAAGATAGGCAGTCATGGATGGCTTTTGATCTGCATGCTGGAAGTCAAGCCAGGACTGGCACCTACATCTTCTGACTTGAACTTCATTTCTATTTCCAGTTTTTTATATTATGCTGCCTCCATACTTTCCAACAGACATAATCCCATATCAACAGGAGATTCACTCATGAAAATTTTTAATTCTCATTATCTCTTTTCTAGCAGAAGGGGACAACAATTTTATATGCACAATTGTATACTTATCAGTAGTATTAATATGCAATTATTTGGTGCCCACTGTGCACAGGGACTATATACTTCTTGATGCTAATTATGGAGACTTTGAAAAAATGTCTTACCTTATTAGTTGTGAAGGAATCCCATACTATCACCTTCCCATCCTGGATGAAAAAAAAAAGGCAGATCTCAGTAGTATCTCTGAATTTTCAACAAATATAGCCTAAAAATTTCAGCTAAAATTTGTATCTACAGGGGATAACTAAAGTAGAAAGTAGACATGATAATCCGGATGCTTCAGGCTTATAAATCTACTCTCAGCAGGGAAAAGATGAAAAAAATTATGGTATATGAAGGGATGGTATATGGTATATGAGTGGAATATTCTCCCACTGTAAAGAATGAGGAATATGAAGAATTGATGAGGAGTGAAGGTAACAAACATATACACTATGACTATAATAATGCAAATGAAGGTAACACCTAAAAGACAACAGAATTCAGATAAAATATAAAAGCCAATGTTGCTTCCAGCTGACTGAGGTTAAAGCACACTTCTTTCCTGGTAAGAGGCCATAAAACTGGTAAAATGGAAAGTTCCTTGTACTGTCAATTGCATCATATATTTGACTTTTTTTTTTTTTTTTTGCTTAGCTTAATAAAAAAAATTGCTAGGTCCTGGGGTAATGGTAGTGGAGAAGAAGGGTACCAGGATGTAACTGATGTGTCTAAACAAAACTCATCAGTTTGAAAAAAAATGGAATACTACTTAAAAAACCAAAACAAAACAATGTGAAACCTTTAATCTATCTAGGAAATTCAAGCCCCCCCTCTCCTTTTCCCTATGAGTAAGTGTCTATTTGATTTGGATAAATTTTCAATTTCCCACTTCATATTGTTTGCGTAATACAGAAAGTAATCTGTTCTATATAATCCATTATAAAGAACAATCATACATTTCAAATAATCATACATTTCAAACAAATATAAATTTAAAACAAATTTCAAACATTCCAAATTCTACTCACAATGCCCCAAATCCTTAAGCCTGCACACAAAATATTATAAATCTGAAATAATTTTCAGGTAACTGTTGGACGATTTAATTACAACTTGTATTTATCATGTTTGTAACCCTTCATCTCTATCCCTACTTTCATTGGCCATTTTCTTTCTTTTTTTTAAGTTGTAATAAAAACTTTTGAACATAAGTACAATCAACTAAACTATTTTAGTAACTGTGTTTACATTAATTTATTTCAATGTATAAAGTAGCACAGCAATTTTTCTGTCACTCCCTCTGGGTCTCCATTAGGATTCTTTGTGCATTCATTCCCATTCTCTTTTTCTCTTATATAATTGTAATTTACTGTGCTTTCCATTCTGCTTTTACTTTTTTTTTTTTTTTACAATATATTGCTTTGTAAAAGCCTTTCCAGATTTCTTTGTATTTTGTATACCTTTCAGTTTTAGTGGCATCAGTGTTCTATTACATTAATATAAACTTTATTTAATCATTCCCGTACAGTTGGATCTGTATGTTGTTTTCTGTCATATCTAACTACATGTAATGCTTTTATGAAAACTTTAATCTGATAGGTCTTTTTTGTTGTTTTTGATAACACTTTTAGGTCCTATTGTCATTCATTTTCTACTGTAAGAACCTGAGCATTGAGATTTTCTGCAGAAATCTAGTTGATTCCTTGGTGTCTGATTCTTTTGGCCTTTGGTAAAGGAATTGTGGAATTATTTGAGTTCAAGATAGTTAAGTCCTAACTGGTAAGAGTTTTCACAGCACAGCATTCTTCTCTCTAATATTTTAAATTGCCAATCAAAACAACAGTTTATAATGTCCCTCAGACCAGTTGGAGATTCTAGACTGAAAAGTCAAGTAGGAAATAATTCCTAGTCATTTCCAGAGATGGATTTCCAACGGACTGGTACAATGGACAATACTCCAACATTTAAGAACCCATCACTATGACTAATGATATCCATGTGATTAGAAAGTAACACCACTGATTTTTAACAAATATACCAGAAGTGATACATCTAAGTAGTGTTCCTTTCAAAGTAGTTACCCTGGGAAGCAACACACTTTTTATTCTGATAATATTCTCATCGTTCAAAATGTCTCTGTAACTCTTCTTTGGGAATGACTTTCCCTAGCATATTTGAATATCCTTGACAATGGCCTATTTTCATCCTTTTGGGTTATAGAAGATTTTTTTTTCTCTAAAAATAGCCAAACATCTTGAGAAAACATTCTGGTGAGGACAATGGGAGAGCATGCTGAGATTTCTTTTGGAGGGGATTCTAAGATTTAGAACTGAAAAGGACTTTGTAGATAACGTAGTCCAACTCCTCCATTTTACAGATTAGGAAATCTGAGGCAACGGGATGCAAAATGACCTGTCCAAGGTCACACAGGCAGTAAAAGCTGTGCTGGGATTAAAATCCAGCTCCTCTGATGCCAAATTCTATGTTCTTCCTACTACCTCATGCTGTTTTCTTGGGGGACTGAAGAAACACTGAAGGAATTAATAATTTTTAAGCCCATGGAAACCATGAAACTGCTATTGATTTTTTTGTAAACAAATAATACTCTATAAATTCAGAGAGGAAGAAATTATTTTGCTGAATAGAGATCACATACAGATAATTCCCAACTGAATTTTCACTTCTAAAGGTGCAAGATTTATAGGATTTAGAAAACGAATTGACTGTATTGATTTATCTTCTGGGAGATTGACATGGTTGAATGAAAGTTACAAAGATTCTGAAAGAATTTAGAGAAACATATTTTTATTTCTCCTTATTTAAGTCTGTGCACCAGAAGCCATTACCAGTGAACGGCATTTTGAGACCAAGTGTATTTTACCTGAGAAGAGCTCACAATCCTTCTTTTGTCTTTACACCAGTCCATGCAGAGGACTTTGTTCCCATGGCCCTTGAGCGTTCTTCTTGTCTTCATTACAAACTGACCCAGAGCCTCCACCCGTTCAGCTACCTGATGCACTAAAAAGAATTGGGTTAGAAGAAGGTTGTGTCACATTCACTGTGGGAAATTATGCATGTTGCATGATTTGTAAAGAATCATAATTTGTACTCATATCCAATTTGCTGATAAATTTTGGTCATTTCTATCTTCATAATATCTCTTATACACGTCCCTTTCTCTGCGTTCACACAATCACAATCCTAGTTCAAGCTCTTATCACTTCTCAACTGGACTATTTCAATAGTCTTTAAATAGGTCTCCTGTCCACAAGTCTCTCCCCATAACCTATCTTCCATTCAGCTGCCAAAATGGTTCTCCTAAAGTGTACATATGGCAATGTCATTGTACCCTCTCCTGCTCAGTGAGCTCCAGGAGGCCTACAGGAAACCCTTTTCCAGTTCCTGCAGATGCTAATGCCTTTCCCTTTCATATCACTTTCTATCTTCTTATTCTATATACCTTGTATGTACCTAATTATGTTTGTGTTGTCCTTCCATTTTAGAATGTGAGATCTTTGAGGGCAAGGGACTGTTTCTGCCTTTTTATATCACCAGTTCTTAGATGGGTGTCTGGCACACAGTAAGCACTAATAATGCTTGTTGATTGATTGATTAATTGTACCTGAGCAAAGCTCCACAAAACACAGGAAATGTGCTCTCACATCAGAGGGATGGTGCACAACCAAGATGGGACAGGAAGCTCTGTTGGGTTATACTATGGGGGCAGGAAGGGAAAAAGCATCTACAAGCTCTTTAACTAATTATTCTCATTAACTAGATGCTCAGCTCAGTTGTTTCTACATTCAGAAGGAGTGCTAGCATTGTCACTGCCCTCTAAGTTTTGATGTACTCCTTAATTCTGGTTCTGAGTTAATGGCATGGGCATTTAGGAAAATTAGTCATATGCCTATAGGGCTGTAATTTTTTTTGGTAATAGTTTGGGCCCTTATCAATGTTATTCCCATGTAACACCATATCTTAAAAAGGAGGGTTGGGGCCTTTAAAAATATCTTACATTTTAGAACCATCTTTTCCACGATCCTCCCAGCTTCTCCTGTCCTTTCTCTTCCTGAACTACCTTGCATTTATCTTGTACATATTCTGCATATGCTTATATATGTACATATCATCTCTTCTGACAGAAAGTAAACTCATTGAAGGTAGGGATTGTTTTATTTTTGTCTTTGTATCTCTTGTGCCTAATTCTGTGCCTGGCATATAGTAGGTGTTTAATCAATGCTTACTGATTGGGGAAGCTAGGTGTTGAAGTGGATAGAGTATCAGGCCTGGAGTCAGGAAGACTCATTTTCTGAAGTTCAAATCTGGCTGCAGACATTTACTAGGTGTGTGGCCCTGGGCAAGTCACTTAATCCTGTTTGCCTTAGTTCCTCATCTGTAAAATGAGCTTGAGAAGGAAATGGCAAACCACTTCAGTATCTTTGCCAAGAAGACCCCAAATGAAGTTATGGAGAGTCATGCCCAATTGGAATGACTCAATAACAACAGCAACAACAACAATTGATCGAATGATCTATATAGGGCTGTATATCTTCCAAATTGCTTTCATGTATATTCTCATTTTGAATTTCATAACAACCCTGCAATGTACACTAGGTAGTTATTACTATGGTCACTCTATAGAAGAAAATAAGGGATCATGATCATATGTTACATGGGGGAGAGAGGACTGAACCCAGGACCTTCTGAATCTAAGTCCAGTTGTTATTAAATTCTGTGCCTCGATTATAAAATGTAAAATTATTATTATTGCTACTGCTGCTATGTGCTCAGCACTAGTAGGTACCCAAAGATGAATAAAATATGACCTGTCCTCAAAGACCTTACAATCTAACAGCTAGGTGGTACAGTGGATAGGCCACTAGGAGTCAGGAAGACCTGTGTTTAAATCCAACCTCAGATACTTAACTAGCTTTATGGCCCTGAGTAAGTCATTTAACCTGTCTGCCTCAGTTTCCTCAACTGTAACTGAAGATGATGATACCATCTTCCTCCCAGGATTGTTGTGAAGATACAATGAAATAATATTTGTAAAGTGCTTAGGACAGTACCTGGCAGAGAGTAGGCCAGTAAGTAAATATATGAAATGAATAAATATATAAAAATATTAATATATAATAAAATAATATAACATATATTAATATATAATACACAAATAAAATGAAATCTTAATAAATGCTTATTTCCTTTCTTCCTTTTTTGGGGGTAGGGGATGGGGAGGCAGTTGAGTTAAGTGATCTGCCCAAGGTCAGACAACTAGGCAGTGTCTGAGGCCACATTTGAACTCAGGTCTTCCTGACCCTAGGTCCTGGTGCTCCATCCACTATAACCCTGATGTACACTATCCACTGTACCACCTAGCTGCCCCTTATTTACTTTCTTCCTAATAGAAAAGTAAGACTGAATTTGATGTAGGAAACTTTGTACCAATGGAGATTAGCATTTGTTCTGTGACTTACAATCCTAGAGAACAGCCTGGGGACACTGTAAGGTTGTGACTTGCCCAGGGTCACAAAGCCAGAATGTGTCAGAAGTGGAACTTGAACTCAGGTCTTCCTGATATAAGGCCAGCTCTCTATCCACTTTGCCAAACTTCCTTTTTCTATTTGTGTAAGATATACACAAACAATTATAATACAAGTTAGAAAATGTTTCCTATATAAGAGAAGTCAAAATAGCATGCGCTGAGACACTGGGTGGGGAGGGAATCATTTCTAGCTGAAGGGATCAGGGAAGGCTTCATGGAGGAGGCACAAACAGAGGTAAGCCTTAAAGGAGAGGATGTCAGTGGGTAGAGGTTAGGGATGGAGTAGGATTGCAGCCAGAGGAAGTATAGTCAGACAAAAAGGTCAGGTGTAGTCTTGGGGAATGCCCACACTTAGGGGGTGGGGAGAAGATGAGGAGCCAAAAAAAGGCGACAGAGATTGGTGAGAAAGATAGGAGTAAAACCTCTATATTTACATAGAATGCTTCTTGCATCAAGAGCAAAATGTACAATGTAAAAAAAAAAAAAAAGGAAGCTGCCCATGTCCCTTGAATTTACTAGAACATCTGAACTGGAACATTTACGAATTGACATAGAAGAATTCAATGTTCTAGCATTCCAGACACAAGCTCACAACAGAAGCCAGGCCCTGTCTTTGTGACGAAGGCGTAGGTGGGGGATTGATGAATCTACGACGTCAGAAATAGATATTTCCAGGAGCGAAGGTAGGTTTTGGTGAGAAGTAAGAAGGTTCTGCATTGCTTTAGTCTGGCAAGATCGAACTTCACAGGAATTTGTGTTCACAGGAAACACAGAGAGCGAGGTACAGGCCAGCTCTTTTAATTAGCCAGTTAGAGTGTTTCCAGGGTAGAGTAACAGCCTTAAAAATGTCTCCAGTTATCTGAAAGTAGTTTCTATGTCACATTCAAAAAAGACATCTTGCTGCGCCAAGCTGGTATTTTGACTAAATCACTTTTGGACGTAATCCAATCTGTGTTCTGTTGTTCAGGAATTTATATAATTTGCTAGTGTAATAATACCATTACTACTAATAATAAGCATTTTTATAGCACTTCAAAGTTTGCAAACACTCTACAAATATCATCTCATTTGAGCCTCACAACAACCTTGGGAGGTAGGTCTATTATTATCGCCATTTTACAAACTGAGGCAAACATAACATTAAGTGACTTGCCTAGGGTCACACAACCACTAAGTGTCTGAGGCCAATTTGCATCTTCCTGACTTCAGGTCTAACTCTCCATCCACTTCATCATCTGGGTACAGGCACAAGCAGAGGACATGAGGACAGATGTGAAAAATAATCATAGCCTCATAGATTTAGAGCTTGAAGAGGTTTAACAAGTCCTCTGGTCCAATCTCCTCATTTTATTTTATTTTATTTTATTTTTTTAATCAATAAACATTTATTAAGTGTCTACTACATGTCAGGCATTGTTCTAAGAACTGAAGATACAAAAAGAGGCAAAAGACATTTGCTACCCTCAAGGATCATACAATTTTTTTCTTTTTTTTTTTTAGATATGAGCAGAAAATTTTTTTTCTGTTTTCAACATTTACTTCCACAAGATTTTGAGTTCCAAATTTTCACCCCATCTTGCCCCTCCCCCCACCCCAAGATGGCTTGCATTCTGAATACCCGTTCCCCTAGTCTGCCTTCCCTTCTATCTCTCCCCCCCTTCTCTTATCCCCTTCCCCTTCAATTTTCCTGTAGGGCAGGGTAGATTTCTGTACCCCATTTCCTGTATTTCTTATTTCTCAGTTGCATGTGAAAACATTTTTTTTTAAACATGTGTTTTTTAAAACTTTGGGTTCCAAATTTTCTCCCTTCCTCCCTCCCCACCCACCCTCATTGATAAGGCAAGCAACTAAATATAGGTTATATATGTGCAGGTATGCAAAACACTTCCATAGTAGACATGCTGTGAAAAACTAATTCTCCCTTAATCCTATCCCGCCCACCCATTTATTCTATTCTTTCTTTTGACCCTGTCTCTCCTCAGAAGTATTTGCTTCTGATTGCTCCCTTTTCCAATCTGCCCTCCTCTCTATCATTCCCCTACTCTCTTGTCCCCTTCCCCTCCTATTTTCCTGTAGGGTAAGACAGATTTCCACACCCAATTGAGTGTGTATCTTACTCCCTCCTTAAGTCAAATCCTATGAGAATAAGAAATCATTCCCTCTCACCTTCCCCCGTTTCCCCTCCACTGTAAGAGCCTTTTCTTTTCTGTTTTTTTTTTGTGGGATAATTTACCCTGTTCTACCTCTCCCTTTTTCCTTCTTCTAGTACATTCTTCTCTCACCCCTTAATTTTATTCTCCAGATATGACCCCTTCATTTTCAACTCACCCTGTGCCCTCTGTCTATCTATCTATATCTATATATACATACATATAATTTTTTCCCCCTCTAACTACCCTAATACTGACAAAGGTCTCATGAGTTACAAATATCATCTTTCCATGCAGGAATGTAAACAGTTCAACCTTAATAA